ATATCCATACATGAATATGAATATGTACAGTCCAGTAACAGGTGTTCGAGCTGAGGATCAATATGCTGCCCTCTATGCTGCTAGTATGCCATTTGGAATGGGTGTGGACTTGTCAGCTATCTTGCCACCAACGACGCCAATGTCTCAGGCTGGGGCCAATCAACAACATCCCGGATCTACGCAGCATCGATCAGATACGCACAATCTTGTTGATATGAACAAGTTTGCATCGGGAAATACAAGAGATGGCAGCGGTCAGCAACCATCGAATGTGGCTCCACCACCCGGTTTCGCAAATCCATCCTTTATGCCGCAACCGGGATTATCGTCTCTATTTTTACAACAACAATTTCCACCACATCCGTACTCGTTTATGATGCCAAATGTGGGATCAGGACGTCAGATGTATCCACAAGAAGACGATCGCAAATCATACGATAAGATGGGAGGAGCGAAACAAGCGCAAGCGAATCCTCCTCAACACTATCACAATGGTGGATATCTCAACAGCGGCCTCAATAAGAAGCCCTATAACTGGAACTCTTAACTGGTTGCACATGTTCTCAATCTCTCATATTTGTGTTAATAATAAAAATCGTTAACACTACTTTTATTCGTGTCATTTTGAGGATTCTTCCGTCATTATGTCTATCGCATCTGGTTTATTTGGGTGCTATGAGAGAAAATGTTCTTCAGAGCATGTCAGCAGCACCTGTAGCGCTAGTAACCGGTGTCACCTCTTCTGTCGGGAAAGCCATTGTGCGACGATTAGCATTTTCTGGATATAAGGTTGCAGCAGCTGATCAGTGTGCTAATGCTGTTAGCGATATAGCTGAAGACAATAATAGGGTGCGTTGTGGATTTTATATGAGACTTTTGTGGTATAGAGCAAATAGTAGTGCGACATGAGCGTGAGGAATAGATTTATTTCAGTTGAGGGGAGATGGGTCGGTGATTTGTGGGTGGGATTTGCAGTTCTGAGTTTGGAAGTTTTCGCGCGTAACGTTCACTGCGGAGGACTTCTATTTCGCACTTTGTAGAAAAATATGAAAGTAGGGTCATATCTTATTTTTGGGAGTATGGGTTGCATTCATTTACATGCATGGATCAAAGTTTATCCTGTCCGTCCTGGAATTGTAGCAAAACACAACTCAGCAAAAGTCATCTCCCCCCTCCTCCTCACTCATAGGGCACTCAAAAACTGGAGAAAAGTCAGTAACCAAAAGTTTTTTCAAGGCGGATACAGCCCCTCCCTCCAGCGATCAGCTTGCGACCTCAGCGCTGGGGGATATCCGACGTCACACGTGATCTCGCACGGAAGCCAGCTGTGCGATGCGTGTGAACGTGGGGTCAGGCCATGCTCATACACTGGGAAAGTGAAACTTGACGGATTGAAGAAACTGCGAAGAGGACTATATACGTATCGGTCTGAAGAACTGGAGAATTGACAACTTGTGGAACTCGAGTGGCT